ATTCTCATTATATTATAAAAAATACCTTGACTCTTATTGGTACAAATACTCTCTAAGGGGGAGCTGCAACTGAAAGGGTTTCTAGGCTATATCATGTCTCCTAAGAAATTGGGATTATTGTGAAGCCAACCCAGAGCAGTCAATATAAAATAGATACAAGCTCATCCCCCTACCTAGTAAGAGCATCAGTGTGGTAACTCAGAAGCCAGACACAAGACTTGGAAAAAAATATAATCACAAACATAGCCCTAAGCTAGCCACAGAAAGCACAAGACCATCATGCTAAAAGTGGAAATACATTTATAACCCCAAACACCCAAAATCAAAGGCTTTAGCTCTGAGTTTCAACTCATAAACATGAAGCCTTTAAGGATCTTAACTATCTTCTCTGTATTTCACAATACAATGAATTAGGTAACACACGAGTTGATAAGAATGTATTGAACAGCCTCTGCTCATTCTACCTTGTAGATAGCCAAATATCCCAGTATCCACAGATGAAGATAAAAGTATGAATCTGAAGCTTTATTCTCTTACCACTTACCAGATTCATGAATAGAGAGAGACAAAATAGTAGGATGGAGAAGAGGAAAAGAGGAAGGAGGGAAGACTTTACCTTTTAACTTTTATGCACTTCTGTATTACTTACCTTTTCATAACATCTTTCTCCTTTCATTTTATTACAAAAGTAAATCATAATGAATTATGCACAACTTTGTCTCTAATAAGAGCAGAATAATAACTGCAAGAAAACTGGAGCAAGGACTTAAGTTTGACAAAAGTGAGGAGTTCCAACATGGATGGTTGTCAGGGAAGGGATGGGTGACGGAGAGAGTAGGAAATCTTCTCACACTGATTTATTCATTCACAGGGAGTAGGGAACTGGCTTACTTTGTGCGGGACCCTGTACTACGTGTTTTACACATATTCTCTCATTATCAAACCTAAAAGACAAGGACTATTAAAAGCCTCATATCAAACCTAAAAGACAGGGATTATGAGTCCTGTCTTACAAATGAGAGAACAAAGTTACACAACTAAGTGACAAAACAAGGATGTAAATACAGATCCATTTAACTACAAAGACTATGTTTAAATAGTCACTGAAGGTCCTGTGTGTCAATCACTGTGTGATCTGGTGTTAGGGAAGTTCTGAAAGAAAAATAAGGATGGATAAGATGATTCTAGGGATCCTAACAATCCTAGAAAGTATATGCTGGCTACAAAGTAAAGGCTCTGCTATAAAGCAAGATAATATCCTCCAAGGATTGGTTGAGATATCACAAAAGAAGTCAAAAAGAAAATATTTTTAATAGCCCCAACAAGTTTCCGCCTGTTGACAATACTTTCAACCTCTGATTCATCAGGGAAGATTCCCTACCCCTGCCATCTTCTATTCAGAAGGAAACAGAAACAAATCTTTGAGACAGTAAAAACAGAAGGGAAGTCATTTGGTGCAGGAAAGAGGTAGATAGGACCCTAGTGAAGGAAAATGACAAAAGAGGAGGATTAAGACTGTAATTTCTGTCAGATTTTCTCCCCAAAGAAAAATCTTTGGAAGGCCAAAGATGAATCACTGATGGTGAATTTAGAACACACAGCCTCAGCTTCAGCCTGTTCTTTTAAGAGATAGCAAGATTACTATGGTAAGCACAGGGATTTAAAAAATTCTTTTAGCTCACTGTGATGCTGATAACACCAACGTCAAGGGTTCGGCTCCCCATACTGGCCAGCTGCACCTCCCCGCCAAAATAATAATAATAATAAAGTCTTGCCTCTAAACTGCACATATCCTTAATAGGTATATTAGCCTATAATAGGTATTCCCAGGCTTTTTGGCAAAGAGCAATGTATGCAGGATGGTTACATTTCACTATGTATGTTAGTATGAGGGAAAAGGTGAAAGAAATGTTAAATTCAAAGAACAAAGGATTACTGCCTATGAAGAATTTATAATTTAGTTATTTGCCTAAACTTCTCACATCCTTTTTTAATACATCACTTCACTTTCCCTTTTTTCCCCATAAAATAGTGGTTTCTTTATTTTAATTATACCTCTAGAATACCATTCTTTATTTCTCTACCTCATACATATTCCTCCACCCTTGTTTCTTTTCACTTGGAATGAACATTTTTGGCCTAATTCCATACACTCCCTCCTCCCAACAGTATCTTCTTGTCCTGAGGACCTCACCCCATCTTCTTTCCTACCTTTTACTTATCAACCCATATCTTTTAGTCTGGATACACTCAAGAGACGATATGGTATTTAACTAAAGGTCAATAGCACATTACAAATTTTGGTTTATAAGCCACCATAATAAATGACAATAACTCGGCAAAAATTGAGAGAAGCTAGTTTTCTAGTAAAAAACAATGTTTAGTAAACTTTAGAGTTAAAATTTTGCATAAACTTTTGTCATTTTATGATCCTTTATAATGATTATGGGCTATAAAAACATTACCTGCTGAAAAATTAATATCACTATCCCTATGATATTAAAAACCGATTATTTTTCACTGATAGCTATAAATCAAGGGTTATAAAGAGAATACCGCTCAAACTAGAGTTAAAAATAGTAAAAAAAAAAAAAGGTTTATTTGGAAGTCATTGACCTTGCCTGAAAGTATTAGTCTATCTCAGTTATCTGAAATACACCCCACCAGATATCACCATGAGCCAATAACCATGTTACTGTATGGCAATCTGGCTGCCAGGAGACATGTACATTTGTCCAAAGGGCCAGAAAGCACCTGGTGGGGATAAACAGGCTATTGATAAGAGGAGAACGACTGAAGCTATATAAATGCCACAGTAAATGAAACACCACTGCTAGGCTGCAGGAATCCCATCTCAGGCTGAGCCAGTCTAATCACCTCTGATGCTTTTTATTCCTTCTCTTACAGGTGTTCACAGGAAAAAAAAAAAAATAAACACACTGTAGTGGATTGAATTACGCCCCCCCCCAAACTCACTGAAGCTTGAATTGTGTCCCTCCAAGTTTCACGTATTAGAAATTTAACCCCGACTGTGATTGTTAAGAGGGTGGGAAATCCTATTATGGTAATTGAAGGGTGGAGCCTTGAAGAGGTGACTGGATTGTAGGACTGTGCAGTAGTGAATGTTGATTAAAAATGGTGGTCAGGGGTGTGGTTCTGAGGGCTTTAAAAGAAGAGGAGAGGCAGTCTCTCTCTCTCTCTCTCTCTCTCTCTCTCTCTCTCTCTCTCTCTCTCTCGGCTCTCTCTGCTTCCACCATCTTGCAATGTGAGACCTTTATGTCACTGTCACCACCACCAGATAGACTTTGGACTTCCCAGCCTCAGAAACCATAAGCAATAAATTTCATTTTCTTTATAAATTACCTAGTTCCAAGTATTTTGTTATAAGCAACACAAAACGGACTAATACACACACATATCAGACTGAGTGACTTTGAGGCAGACAACTATTCCATCAGACTTGTAAGAAGAAAGAAAAAAGAAAAGGAGGTGGTAGATGTACATTCTAGAAAGAGGGGGTAAGGATGGGGAAGAAGTACTTTTGTATATAAAGATAGTTAGTGAACATGGTGAATGATGAAATGTGCTGCCAACTGCAAAATGAGTAAGTTTTAACACTAAATGAGGTTTCAGATACTAAAGGCTTGATGTTGTTCCTCTATTATTGAATTATGAGCCAAGAATCTCAGCGGACCCAGAACTAAAAAGCTGGGAATACAAAACAGTGTGGGTCCATGTCAGTTGGCCTATTCTAGAACAAAGTGAAAATGGCTAATTTATGAGGACTTTAAAGTAACATATTAGAAGAATGACCATTGTATAAGAGGGCAGGCGGAAATTCTGCTTTGATAATTTGACAGTTCAAAATGAACATCCCATTTCCCCTAATTCAATCTTAGTTTCCTTGAGCTAAATGTTTCCTTTCTTTATCACCCACTTTACAAATCAAATGGAAGAGCTGTTTAGAGCTAACTCACTGGTCCTAAATGTAACTGGAGCTAAACAAAAAGATCTTTCTCACTAGTGTGAACAGTCTTCCAGGTAGCTGTGCAATGCTCCCAGCAGTAAGCTGAGCATCACACTATGTATTTAATGGAGACAGGAGCCGGAACTCAATGAAAGGGCAGTGCCTGATTTCTACAAAGGCTGTAAGGCCCTCTGAGGCTTGGCATCAAGGGGTTCTAAACTTAGAATCACTGGGGTCTATTACTAGTTCTACATCAAAACAACTGGAGAACAAAGCAGATCCGGAGAAACACTGGCTAAGAAAGCCCCACAAATCACATGAAACAAAATGAGAGGCTAGAGAATTCCTCAAGAAAAGAGTGAGAATGTACATTTCAACTGTGCTAAAAGAGAGCTGATATGGTTTCTCAACGTCCCATCCAAGCAGCCTTCTCAATTGTTACCTCACTTTGTATGCTTAGTACAAATTAGGAGCAGGCACCTGGACCTCTTCGTAGTAAGATATGTGCTCAGATACGCATTTGAGGAATGGCTCACAATTTCCTTCCTGTGACTTTCTTGTATTACCTCAGCTCATGGAACAAAAGTAGATTAATGGCTAGAACTAGAGAAAAACTCGCAAATTCTTTACTTGGTCTCAATTGTAATAAGAACAGTAATTATCCATATTTTATTGATCCTTTTAGAAAAATGTGGCTAGAGACAATTCCAGCAATATAGTCCTTTTAAGAAATGAAAATGGATTCGGTAAAAGCATGTCAAGACATAAGTATCACACATTCCTTCTATTTTAGAAAGGGAAATAAGCAGGCAAGAAGACAAGCAAATTACTCAGGGCCTTGCAATGTGTTAAGCAGAGGCAGGAAGGGGCACTGCTATGGTCTTGTCAGTTTTTCAACTTCCTAAGTTAGGTTCCTCTGACTCCACCAGCTGCTGCTCAGAGCCCACAGTATACATCATCAAATTACTTTGAGAAAGTCAAAATAAAAGAAGAGCTGGTATATATGTGTACAATTGGTGTATAAGATTGGTACCTGTAAGAGAGTATGGTGCATCATCACCTCCAGTTCGGCTAAAACATGAGCAGCATCCTCACTGTCCTCTTGAACCTCCAGATCCTCCTCGGGGACGGTCTCCCAGTTGCCTTGGTGAGCGACCAGCATGTGCACTGATTTATACTGTCCAGGGGGCGCAGGGCTGACCCGAGTCTGAGTTCCATAGGTGAAGCGGAGGCGCCGAAGTTTACAGTTCTCCTCACTGCCCAACTTGGTGGTGGGAAGCACCTGCACCCCCAAGAGCAGATTCAACAGCTGGCACTTGACACTGCAATCCTGGCCCAGGATCAATATGCAGGGAGGGCAGTCCACAATCTGCTGGAGGTACTTCTCCTCCTTAGGTGGGAAGGAAATGCAGCTCATCTGGCCTGGTTGAGGAAGGGAAGGGTGGAAAAGGAGAAAGGAGTGGAGAGAAAAAAGTGAGGAGGAGCAGAAAGAGACTCACACAGGGACCCCATGAGGATGTCAGGGTCCTAGAGGAGAAATTTCTAGGAAACTCTTGGTTGAAGGAGACATAAGGGAAAAATCCCAACTAGAAAAGGCTCTTCAAGCAACAAGTAGAATTCCCATCCCTAGCTCATCCCCAGGGGAACAAGCTGTTATTTCTGCCGAGAAAGGTGGCAGTAACCTGATCTTCCTTTCCCCCTTCTTTGTCATTCAGTGGAGGGACAGTCTGAGGAGTATACAAGGACTCCATCACAAACACAAGATCATTAAAATGACAAAGCTGGAAAAGACTACACTAACTGTGACATGAGTCGAAGGAGAAACATATCTGAATATATCCAGATTAAAGCCTTCCTTCTGACAGAAGACCTAATACTTGAACATACACAGCCCATTTAAACTTCTCTACCATATGCAGTTTTAGCTTGCTATTTTCCTCATTTCTATGACATATTTTATAACTAAACGTATGAACTAACCTGTAAATTTACATATCAAAATGAAATGTTATTCAAGTTTGCATAAGCTCTAGAATCTTTTCCAGTTCATCTTTCTTGACAGCATCCCAGCTGCCAAGTCATCTGTTTTCTAAAAACATCGGGTGCTCAACTAAGATCAATACCTCCTAATCAAATCATATTCCTTCCGTTTATGGATGACAAGACCCCTTGGAAGACAAAGGGAAAGAACTGCCTGTTAGGAAAAAATCCAGGAAAACCTCCAAAGAGATGTGATCTACTTCAAAAACATTCTCCTTTCAGGACAGCCACCACTAATCTAAGTGGCTAGCTCACCCAAACTGATTCAAATAGTGTTCAAGAGGGAACAAAAAGCTCCCTAATGTATAAAAACTTGTTTGGGAAAAGAATCAGAAATTAGTTCACTGAAACTCTTCGAGTCTGAACTAGATCACTTCCCAGTTTCTTAAGTAGCAGTGCCTTGCATTTGTTCAGAAAGACACAGACATGCAGTTCTTGGACTGAAGAAGGCCCATCTTTGAGAAGGCTACTTATATACATCCTAACTGAAATTTCAGGCGACATTAACTGAAACATTAAACCATTTGTAGGCTGCTTATTTTGTTTGTGTAAAAGAAGCAAGAGATGCCCGATTGATTTAAGAGGGGGTTCTACTTCAGACTGTATCTACCCTGCTACTATTTCAAATCCTCCAGCCTCCTTCTCTTCCACAAATGGCATCACCAAAAGAGTTAAAGAGGTGTGTATTCACCCAGACCCCTCTATGCATTTCACTAAGGCCCTTCCTTTAATGTCTGTCTATATAAGTACATCACCCAGATCTGCCTATATACATCAGCAACACCAGACACTAAAACAAGGAAATCCACTTTCCTGGGAAAAAGATGGGTACCTTTGAAAAAGCAGTGTTAACTGAGTGCCTAATTCTGTGCAAGGTATTTACTAAGCACAAGAATAAAAGACCAGACCACTGGTCTAATCTTTGACCTACAATCTAAATGCAAGGGGACAGAACCAATTGCTCCTGAAACCATTTAGCAGGTAGCCTCAGGCTAATCCTGAGTTCCTTCACACCTTGTTCACAACTAGACAACACTTAAGAGTTTATTCTAGTGATCTGTTTATAATTCTCAAAAGCAGGAAGAACCACCCTATTTCTCTCTGTATCCTCAACACCCAACACAATGACTGACACATAGTAAGTGCTTAATTTTATACATTTGTTAGTTCTGTGTAAGAATCTATTTATTGTGGAGAGTTGTCTATAGAAATCTATAAGCAAATCCATTAAGTACTTCTAAAAGTCCAGTATCATGATGAATGGCTTAAGAGCAACTGTGATTCCTAAAAAGCTCCTTCATCTCAACATGGAGAGTTAGACGTGGTCAAAAGACTAGGACCTCCCCATTTGCCTTTCAGAATTAACTACCATAGTCTCAGCTTGAGCAGTGAAAAGTCCAGCTAGACTTGGTAATAGACTAGACTGTACTGTCCTCACCCTCATCTACACTTTCCAGCTTTCCTCTTTTCCCAGTCCTCTCCAGATGCTCACATAGGTGTCTAAGTGTCAATTCATACCAACGACTTTAAATTCCTGTAATAAAAGTTGTTTCATAATAAAAAACCCAACAAACCTAAATGAGCTTTGTTACTTGCTACTGCCAGGAGAGTGGATAATAGAGAAGAATATCAACTAAACCACTTTTCAGGACCAGAGGGAGAGGCCTCAACACCTCTGTGACAAAATGTCAACTATAGGAAAGCCAATAAAACATGTTGCACCAGCCAAAACTACAGCAGACATATGCTGTTATCCATCTGACCCAAATTATCACCCTCCCCCTTCCTCTTTCCTATTAAAAATTCACTACAAATAAACCTGCTACTGTCAAAACAAGCAAAGACTAGTGTAATGGGAAAGCAGGCTGAAGTTGAGCCCAGTTCTAATTTTGTTTCTATGCACTCTGCTAGGGTTCTATGTGCAACCTATTGGACAAAAAAAGGTCTACAATAAGGACATCACTATCTGTTTTTCATTATGTCACTGTCCAAGTCATTTGCTTCTCCCACTGATCTTTAGCTTTTTCATTGATCTCCAACTTGTCTACAAGATTTGAATAAGGGCATGAAGAGAAACGAAGTTGAAAGAAGATGGTTTTACTTCTTCTCTGGGCACACAGCTCAGTGATGAGGATTGCAACAGTGTTATAAGGCTGTGCTCTAACCAACTGAGCCAACTGGCCAACCCCTGGGCACAGGTTTTCTGATCCCACACTTTGTCACTGATTAGCTCTGTGACCTTGGCAATCCACCTGCTCTTTCTGAGCCTTGAATTGCTCATCTGTAAACTGAGGGAGTTGGAAAGGATTTACCTTTCCAGTTCTAAAGTTCCAGATACCATCTGGAACTTTACCAGGTTTTGTTTTTTTTTTTTTTTTTCCTTTTTGAGACCGGCCGCACCGCGCTCAGCCAGTGAGCGCTGTGAGCGCACTGGTCATCCCTATATAGGATCCGAACCCGCGGCAGGAGCGCTACTGCACTCCCAGCGCCGCACTCTCCCGAGTGCGCCACAGGCTCGGCCCTACCATCAGGTTTTAATTGTTGAAAGAATAATGATGTGAGGGGGATGGGAGGTTGGACTGGTTGTTTTTTTATCTTATTTTAAATTATACGTGAATTGAATTATGCAAGGTCCCCCTGGACTACTATAACTGCAAATCAAAAAGCTGACTGAACTAGCCAGGGGCTCTAAGGACCTACAGTGTTGTTTTAGCAGTTCTCTAAAGAAGAGATTAAAAATTGTAGATTGACAGTAGGAGGGAGGAAGAAAACCTGTTTCAGAGCTGGAGCAGCTGCCTCACTGATAGTTAAAGGACTTCTGAGCTAATCAGGTTTTCTTTTGTAATTAATACAACAGCATCTGCATATGGGCTGCCAGAAGGTAACAGCATGACTTCTCAGCTGGCACACATTAACCCTGCCAGCTCTGGCTGGAGGAAAATTCATATCAAATTGTATTAAGTGCAAACCAAGGCTTTTTTTTTCCCTTGGTGTTTGTTCTAAAATACAGATTACTTTAAGTGGAGTTACTTCTAAACAAAGGCTTTGAGCTAGAAGGAGGAGGAAAAGAGCAACTAAAGTACCAACCCATTTTGTTTATTTGTTCTAGATAACATTTATTGAGCCCTTTCTATGAACTAATCACTTTACTTGCCTCATCTCATTTAATGCTCACAGTTCTACCAGACAAGGACTATTGATGTATCATTTATAGGTCAGGAAATGGAAAACAAAACTAAAAACAAAAACTAAACTAAAAAACAGGCCATGTTTCTCCATTTATCTAGGCAGATAAAAGGTGAAACACAGGGCTGTGCAGGAGCTGTACCTGTGTCGCAGGGGGCCAGGTTAATACTTGGTAATAGACCATGCCCCCTACCACTTTGTTTCCTAATCTGGGGCCAAACACAACTTAGTAGCAATTGTGGAACCCCAGTGTAAAGCAGACTGACAAAGTCTCTATGAAAGTTGCCCCAAACCGTGAGGAATAAATCCTGGGGAGAAAAACACAGTGTTACCACTAGCTGGTGCATGCTTTCAAAAAATGTTATTGTTATTCTACCTAAGATCTCTAGAGTCCTTTTCTAAAAGAAACCATAGGTGCTTTTCAGAAAAATTCTTAATGTTCCTCTAATCAGTCAGAGTGCATTACATTTCGGGTTTGAAGTTAAGACTACTCTAAAAAGGAAGGAAAGGAGGAAAGGAATGCTAAATGACCTGGAGAGATGGAATGCTACCAACTGGTATATGTTGCTAGTGACCCTTTAGGATAGATACTTTATCCAAATATTTATTTAATATATTTTTGGAGTAATGACAATGGCTTTGTATCAATACACTCCCTTTCTTGCCTGTTTTCCATCCCAACTGTTGGGGTTAAAACGATACCATAAAGTATGGCGATTTGGCATGCTGAATACTTTTTAACTAAGATCGGGAAAGCCCCAGAAGCAGCATCTCTCTCTGACCTTCTCCTGCCCTCTTGTCTCCCACTGCTCTTTCTCCCCTGAATTGAGTCATAGCAACCAGAATTCCTCTTCCCCATAGAAAGCCATAAAAACCTACAAAGTCACTTCTCCCTTAAAAACCTTCATCCCAGAGGGGTCCTGCCCAGAAAGAAGGAATGCTACACAGGGAGGCCAAGAAGCAGCTGAACAGACAGCCCTTGCTGGGTTTCCCCCCTCAGTCTGTTACCATTAGATCATACTCTTTGTCCAATCAAATTCCTACATGGCTGTCCGTTCTTTATTGACCTAAGCATAAAACAGTTTTCCCTAGGTCTCTGGGTCTTCATTCCTGAAGCCTCCCGTTGTCACGTAAAACTGACTAAATAAATTTGCTATGCTTTTCTCTTATTAACCTATCTTTTGTTGTAGGAGGAT